CTAAATCAAGTCCCTGCTCAGAACTTCCTTAAGGCTCCCTTTGCCTTCCCACCCTCCTCTCCTGACCCTCCTACCTAACCTCACGGGTTCCATCAACTCTCTCGCCCTACCCCAGCCTGCTCAGATCCCCACATGCCTCAGGGCCTTTGCACTGGCTAGCCTTCTGTTTCCTTCCCTCTCCCCTCCCCAAGATATCCCCATGGCTCGTTTCCTGTCTTCATTGAGGTATCAGTCTGAATACCAGCCCAGCCCATTAGCTGCCCCAGCCGCCACAGGGAACAGTTCTCACCCGAGATTCTCCTTCCCTGTGACCCCACTACATCATTCTCACGGCTCTTATTGCCATCTGCCATGCCGCTACTGTCTTCTTCCCTTCCCCTAGATCAAGCCTCAGACCATGGACTCTGGTTCTCATGTTCTTTGTCACCGTCCCCGGGGTTAGAGAAACACTTGAGGGGGGTGAACTGAGCACACACTTTTTCAACAAAAGATGCCAGAGGCAGAGAGGGACACACAAGAACTCAGAACATGGGACTCAAGTCATACAAAAATAGTGAACTGCCACCGTCCTCCATAAAAAGGGGTAGAAGGGTCCTGGGGAAGAGATGCTCTGAAGTACCGCAGATGCAGAGTTTATGTGCCCATGCCTGGAGATTTCACTGGTTTGAGGGAGGGATGGAATGTGTACTCACCCAACAGTGCCCAGACAGAATGTGATTAATGTGTGAAACTCAGCAGAAATGGAGCCTTTCAACTAGAGAGTTGTCACAGTTACATTGGTGACCACAAGCATTTAAGCTCACCTACTGGGAAAAACAAAAACAAAACAAAATAAAACAAAAAACAAAACCACCACCCCCCCCACCCCTCAAAATCAAAACATGTCCCTCAGTGGATTGAAGAAAAAAATCAGATCTTACAAGATGCTGCTTGGTAGACATCCAGCTACAGATAAAAGAGGATTAAGGCTTGGGAAGGACAACAGATAAAGCAAACTTCATTTAAGGAATTAGATAGCATGTCCATTACTTTTGATAAAACCAGAAAACCAAATGGATGCATGCATGACATTAATTAAACTCCTTAAGTAGGGTCACATAACCCGGCACCAAGGCAGTTAAAGTACTGTGAGAACGTAGCGGTGGGGAATAGTGGCTATGGCCAGGGAGATGGCTGCAGGGAGAGATCGGCCGCCCTTCACTGCTATCAAGAATCGCAGCTCAGATGAGGGCACAGGGAAGCCTGCTAAGGGTAAACAGACATATGGACAGCTCTTTTGCCAAAGCAGGACTTTCCTGTCTCCATGAAGCATTCTCTGGAACTGGAGAAGATATAAATAAAAATCATAAAACCTTCCAATTAAAAGATTACCCTTTGATCCAGACATACAAGCTGGCAGACACCGAACAAAGCCCCCAAAGAAAAGCTAAATTAACTTCAAAGAGCAGAGGCTTTGGGCTGGGGTGGAGGCGGGGGTGGAGCTCCATTCTCCAAGCAGACAGAAAAATTAGGAAGTTGGGAAGTGAGAAACATGTCCAAGAACTGCTCCTTTGCAAACGCACCCCAAAATAATAACATCTACAATCCCTGGGGAATCTCACATAAACACTAAATAAATAAATAAATAAATAAATAAATAAATAAATAAATAAATAAATAAATAAATAAATGAATGAATAAATAAATAAATAAATGGAAAGTAAACAGAAACCAAATTAGAAATGAAAGGTGGAGCCGATAAGGAACTACCTTTTAGGAGTTTCTCTGCTCTGTGGTGCCTTCCCAGGTTTGGAGATGCCAAGCTGCTTTAGTCATGGTACTGCTTGCTCTGGGCAGGGTGGTCCCCAGGTATGAGAGGATGTCATGGGGTGAGGTGCTTCCAGTGGGAGGGGTCACTAGCTTTCAAATGAGAAGAAAGTGTGGGGTGACTCAGTCTTTGACTGTTATATTGGGGTGGATTTGCATTTTTTTTCAGTGCTGAAAATGTGATTTTCAAGTTTACCTACAAGTGGCTTCTCATTTCCCAGCACAGGACAATTTTTGTGTCTTCCTTTGGGAGATGCTATTGTCATCTTAGCATCCCACAAAACCTTTGGGTGTCATCCTTCTGTGCTCAAGGTGGCTTGGCAAGGCATGGGACAGCATCTGTTACTGAAAGTGGGAAAACAAAAATAAAATAAAATAAAAAGGGTTGTATCAAGTAGGAAGATTTCACTAGCAGTGCCACAGCAACCATATTTTTTAAGTGACAGAGTCCGTTAAAGGGTTTATGTACAGCACTGGCTAGGTAAGCTGTCAAAACTGGGGGATGCTTCCTGCATCCCCCCCAACATGTATACCAGTCCCAGAGCGGTGAGACACTTCACAGAACGCGAGAAATCCTCCCATGTGGGATGCATGGAGCCTCTCTAAACTACTGGCATAGACATGGGTGGATGAACCCTAGGGTAACAACACTCTTAAGTGGGGCATTGTGGGGACAGCTCTGAGCAGCTGATAGGTTCCCTGTAGAGATGGCAGGTTCAGAATCATACAGGTTACCTGGGGAGAGAGACCTGTATGAAGACACTGGCGGCGGCCTCAATAGGGCATCCAGTAGGTCTCTAGTGGTACAGGAGTCCTTCAGATGCCTGGGGAGCCACACTATTCACCCTTTTGGCTTCAGTAATCTAAGGAAATCCAGGGTAGAGTCAGGATTAGGGAACCCCATCACAGTCCCACTGAGTACAGGTCTGTGATTGGCTTTGCCTTGACCAGCTTATGTAGGCAAAGGGGACCCTGTGTGCTTGCAGTGAGAGTACATGTGTTTTGTGCACACATATGAGATTGTACACATGCATCAAATATGTCAAGCAACTGGACCACTAGCACGGGGAGATGCGGGCTCCCAGCCTTCCTCTCAGGTTGCGTGGGTCTGGCTTCAGTGCCAGCCTCTAAGCCCATAGGCCGAGCTCCAGTCCCTGCAAGGGAAGGTGGCTCCTGGCCACCCAGGGCTCCTGTTGCTAGGAAACAGCTCTCTTTGATTGTGTATGTGGAGCATGCCTGTGTTTGTCTTTGGCTCTCAGAAGGACAAAATTCACCATGTGGCGACGGAGAAATAATATTGAAAAGTACGTTAAAAATAAAAGAGGTGCCAAATGGCACTCTGGATTGCAGATGCTTCCCTTGCTGAGGACGGAGCCCGCCACTTGCAAAAGCAAGACCATTCCAGGGCTGACTGAGCATTGCCCAGGCGTGGGTTCAGGCTGCATTCCTGGGTGTCCTTCTGCTGCTCTGCAGGTGCACTGTCCTCCCTTCCCGTTCCTTGTGTGCCTGGAGAATGTGGCCAAGTGTGTGAGCTTGCAGTGTGAGGTCAGGGAGTGTTGTCCTGCTCCCTGTTCCTGCTTTCTCCCTCCTTGCTTAACCCAGGGGTATAAGCCGAAGGGCAGACAACGGGGAAGTGTGAGTCTCCATTTGGTATTTGGGAAAGGGACATCATGTGGCTGCAGTCCACTCTACCCACTGAGTCAGGAGGTGCTGGAGAGTGGTAGTCACTTTTGAAGTGGGTCTAGTCTCTCCTGCCTACCTATGATCATGTGAGTCTGAAGCTGGGGAGATCAGTGGGAGTGACCTCGGAGGAAGGGGCAGGAAAAAAGCCAGGGTTTCTCGCTGTGCTGCAGGAAGAAGAGTGGGCCCTTGTGCCCCCTGCCTCATGCCCTGCTGCCTTCTCAGCTCCAAGCCTGACTGCTCAAACCTCAGGCCATCCACGTGTCAAGGCTTCCTCATCCCTGGTGCCCTCACCCCTGGCAGGCCGCAGCTCCAGTTGACTCTTGCCTTTAAACTCTCTGCCTTAGTCCGTTGTTACCACTTGACAGCTCTCTTGGCTGACCTCCTCCAGGGCTCCAAATTCATCAGGCCAACAGGTGCAAGCGTGGCCACATCCTGCTGGCCTCTTTGTCTGTGGCTGCTGCTTCCAGGGCCTTAGCAGGTGCTTGGCAGTTCCTCTGTGGTCTGGGAGGAAGCAAAGCCAGAGGGCCTGCAGATCTTTTAAAAGATTTATTTCTATTATTTTTTATTTATGTGTATGTGTGGGTCTCTGTTTATGTATGCCACATATGTGTGGGTACCCTAGGAGGGTAGAGGAGGACACTGTGTCCCCCAGAGCTGGAGTTACAGGCCGTTGTGAAACACCCAACGTGGGTACTATGAATCGAACCCTGGTCTTCTGCAAGAGCAGTGAAGTGCTCATCATTGCTGAGCCAACCATCCAGCTCTATTCAGAACCTTTTAATGAGATACAAATGTGGATGTCTTTATAAAAATAAAGTAAACCACCACAGGTTTCAAACATGAAACATTTAGAAAAGGATGTATATGTATATGTATGTGTATATGTATATGTATATATATATATATATATATATATATATATATATATATATGTATGTATGTATGTATATAACCCTGGGATTCAGAAAACACTGTTATTATTAGTTAACAGCCTGGTACATTTAAATGCCTTTCCCTCAAATTTTGTTTGCATGCTTGATGACTACATCTTCACATCATAAGAATAAAATTTTAGAACTAATTAGACCAAGTGCAGTAGTATTCCAGGCTTTTGAAATATTTTTTGGTAAAAAATTGAATTTATTATTGATGCTCCAAGAGACAGTTTTTGGCATGATTATTGGCAATACCATGCTGTTTTTTCTTTATGATTCTTGGGCTGCAGAAAATCCTGAGGTGAAGCTTCAGTGGGTACATGCCAAAGGGATGTGTGTAGATTCTGCCAGCAGACTCCTCTTGTCTAGCTCCTTCCCTGGGCCCACGCATGCCACCAGCCTCCTCTGGCAGGTGGAGGCAGGCTTGGTGAGGGCCGCCTACTACTGAACCCTGGGAAGCTTCCTTATGCATCACAATTACAGAAACACCTGTGCTAAATACCTCGGTGCAGGTTGGGCTGGTTCTATGAATTTGCAGGGTGCCCTGCAGCCTCTGAATTTCTCATTTCTCCACAGTCAACAGCTGCAGGTGTGCACAGTGGGGGCTGCTGAGGCCTGATGAGGAGGCCTGTGACGACAGAGCTGAATCTAGGATGACACATTTATCCTCCCTGGTGGCGTCTTCACCCCACATTATCCCCGTGTTTACGGAGAGGGCAGAGGAGATCTGTCAGTTCAGACCCACCTGGTGGTTCACAGCAACCTGGGGGGAGAACAGAAGGCAGAGGTAAGAGCTTCCAGAAGGTGGGACTTTCACAGGGGCCAGGCTACTGCTAGCTGTGGTAGGAAACGCAGACAGGCAGTGTGGGAGAAGATATGGGTGAGACTATACACTGTGGTTGTGACTATTATTAAATGTCCAGAATGTTCATCTGTTAAGCGGACTTTCCAGCTTCTTTTGGGCCATGATAAGCTATTCTCCAAGGTCCACAGCCCTTATCTGCTGCTTCAGTACTGGTCACTCCTGTTGAAGGTGATGCATTGTTAGTTTCCATGGCACTAGCCTTTGCAGAGCCTCTGTGGGGAAGTGAGCTGGTGTCAGGAGGGGAACACTGCCCTTCCTGTGGTGGGTTGGATGATATGGTCCTTATAGGCTCATAGATGTGAATACTTGGTTTCCTGTTGGTAGAATTGTTTGGGAAGGATTAGGAGGTGTGGTTTGTTGGAGGGGTTTTGTCTCTGGGGATGGTCTTTAAGCTTTCAAAAGCCCACACCATTCTCAGTCTCTCTCTCTCTCTCTCTCTCTCTCTCTCTCTCTCTCTCTCTCTCTCTCTCTCTCATGAGATGTGAGCTATCAGCTACTGCCCCACAGCCATGAGTGCCTGCCTGCTGCCATGCTCCCCACCATAATGGTCATGAACTCTAACCCTCTGAAACTGTAAGCAATCTTCCAATAAACCCTTTTTTTATAAGCCGCCTCAGTCATAGTTTCTCTTCATTGCAATAGAAAAGTAATTAAGACACCATTTATTTACATTACGGCAGTCTGGATGACAAGCATGCCCCTTTCTGGATGGCAGCCTTGATAACCAGCTCAAGGAAGGATAATACAGACACTGCACTTGAATTGTTCAGATTCTGTGCATAAAGTATTCCTGGGTTGTGGCAGAGTATTTTTTTTTAACTATGCAAAGATGTGTTGCATTTGTTTAACTATGCAAAGATGTGTTACATTTGTTTATGTTGCAGGATAATTATTTAACTATGTAAAGATGTGTTGCATTTGTTTAATTATGTAAAGATGTGTTGCTGTTTTACCTTGCCTGCCTAAGGCATCTGATTGGTCTAATAAAAAGCTGATGGCCAATAGTGAGAGAGGAGGTATAGATGGAACTTCTGGGTAGGGAGAATAAGTAGGAAGAGGAATTTAGACTTGGAAGAGAAGGAAAAGGAGATGCCAGAGGCCAGTCAGCCAGACACAATGGAAGCAGGAAAGTAGGACATACAGAATGAAAGATGGAAGGTAGGGCATGAGGGATGAGAACGTAAGGGAATGGGATAGTCAAGCTGGAACAGGGATGGAGTGGGAAAGCAATGAGAAAAACACCATGATGGAGGGAGACATCATGGGGATAGAGAGAAAACCAGGGCTAGGGAAGTTGCCAGGAATCCCCAAGGATGACCCCAGCTTAGACTACTAGAAATAGTGGAGAGGGTGCCTGAACTGAACTGGCTTGACTCAGTTATCAGATCGGTGAATACCCTAACTGTCATCACAGAGCTTTTCTCCAGTGATAGATGGAAGCAGATGCAGAGGTTCACAGCCAAACACCAGGCAGAGCTTCAGAAGTCCAGTCAAAGAGAGAGAGGAGGGATTCTATGAGCAAGTGCTTCAGGATCATGATGGGGAAACCTGCAGAGACAACCAAACCAAACTAGTGGGAACTCATGAAAGTTGGATCAATGGCTATGGAGCCTGCATGGGACTAGACTAGGCCCTCTGCATGGTGAGACAATTGTGTAGCTTGATTTGCTTTGGGAGGGGGGGGGGTGTGGCCTGGCGGTAGAATCAGAATCCATCCCTGGTGCATGAGCGGGCTTTTGGGAGCCCACTACCTAGGATGGGTCACCTCATGCAGCCTTGAGGCAGGGGGAAGGGCTTGGACTTACCATTACTGGATATGCTCCCCTCCCGTAGGCCTTGCCTTCTTGTGGGGGGGAATGGGGAGTCAGTTGGTGTTGAAGACTAGGGAGGCTGGAGGAGGGAAGAGGGGGAATTCTGATTGGTGTATAAAATGAAAAAAAAGTTTTCTTAATAAAAAAATGAAAAAAAAGGAAAAGAAGTTCAAAGTCCAAAGGCAAAACAGATAATGAGTAGAAACAGGTTAAATTAAATTAGAAAAAAAGTGGGACAAGTCTAAGCTAAATCTGAGCATTCATAATTAACAATAAGTCTCCATGTCTTTATTTGGGAACTGGTGGGTGGCTCAAAGAAAATGCTAACTCCACCAGGTGTTTCATGATCTAGAAACAACAGTGGAAATTTCCTACAGGCAGCACGCAGGAGAGAGGCCTAGGTGCTTCTAGCTTGGGAACTGGTTAGCAGTCGGAAGTGCTGAGGTGCTCTGAACCACTACAGGCGCTGCCCTCATGATTACCCCAAAACCAAAACATCTATCTCTGAGAGAGGATGATGCTGTGGGAAAGAGCTCAACTGAGCCTAGCTTTATCCAACTCCGCCTCATGTGGGGTGAAGTAATGGGTGCTGGGCAGTGTCTTCCTCCTCTAGTGGGTCTTTCGGGATTTCGTCCTGAGTGTTCAGAAGCTCCAGAAAACACTATGTCCGCATAGGGCTTCAGGAATAAGCATAGCTGTATGAGAGTCCATATCTGACCACTCTCCTATGGGAGTTTTCTGGGAGACTGCACACTCAGAGCAATAGGCTGATTCCCAATAAGGATTTGGGCTTTACGTCTTCCTAGGCAGCGCAGGCTGTAAGGAGTCTTGAAAGATGGGGCCATGGTGGCTGAAGGTGTGAAGAAATGCTTCCAGATGAAGGTGCATTAGAAGATGAGCAGGTCAGAGATCCTCATTCTAGGTACAGGGGACCAAGGACAGTGTGGATATGCAAGACCTATGATACCAGATCAGAGGAAGCACATGGGTTTTGAATTTGACCAGGGTGTGGAACAGAGGCAAGTGTGCTCTTTGGGAGGAGGTTGGCCTGGGGAAGGGCTGAAAAGGGAGTTCCACACCCCTCCCCCCATATCTGAAGGAAAATGGGGTCAGTCAGCTGACATGTGTTCCCTTGCGCCCTCCTCCCTCAGGGAGACATCTTCTTGGGTACTTCATCTGATACATGCTCTGCAGGTAACCCTTGAGCACCACTAAACCTCTGGCCTCCTGCTTCTGTTCTTCCTAACTGGCAATTTGCCAGGCCTGGCCCAGGCCAGATCTCCCTGCAACTGCAGTTGAGGGTCTAGACATGGCTGACCAATCACGCTGATTGGTCTCAACCTGAAGTTAGGAATGTCATTCAAAGAAGACAGCCACAGAGGTCAATGTGCCTGCCCATCCCCACTCTTCCAGAGAATCACTCCAGTCAATTTTCTCTGTCTTTTCAGAGGTTTCTCACTCACCCCGCCCCCCACACACTACTATCTACTCAGCATGGACTCTGTGCCACACTCCCCTGAGCAGACATAATCATAAGAAAGCCTACCTTCCCCACTGCCATCTCTACTTACCACCATCTGTATCTGTCGTCGTTAGGTTTTCATTGCTGTGAAGAGACTCCATGACCACGGCAACTCTTATAAAGGAAGCATTTAATTGTGGTGGCGCTTACAGTTCAGAGGTTCAGTCCATCATGGCGGGGAGCATAGTGGCGAGAACATGGTGGCATGCAGGCAGGCATGATGCTGGAAAAATAGCTGAGTGTCCTACATCTTGCAGGCAACAGGAAGTTGACTGTCACACTGAGTGAAGCTTGAGAAAAAGACCTCAAAGTCCCCCATCCCCTCGGACCCACCCATAGCGACATACTTCTAACAGAAGGTGTGGCCCAGATTAAAGGTGTGCCTCTCCAGCCTCAAGGTATGGATTAAAGGCACGTGTCATCCAGCCTCCTCCAATGAGACCACACTTTATCCTAATAGTGTCACTCCCTATGAGCTTATGGGGGCCAAATACATTCAAACGACCACAGTGTCTTTGGGCCCACTGAACAACGTGGGTCCTACCCAAAGCCAATTTTGTTCCTATCTCCCCTTCTTGGTCTCATTTGTAGGAGTGCTCCTGTCTCTGACTCATTACTTTTCCTTGCTCTCTCCTTTGTGATCATGGCCTCCTGCATGCAACAACACCCACATGGAGTGTCTCATCTCAGAGAGATGCTTCTCTGCAGCGCCTTTCCTTCCCAGCACTGTTGGAGTCCTTATCCAGGTCAACTGAGGTCCGTGCTGGATGAGGGCTTGCCCCTGGTTCACCCACCCTGCAAGCCTAGGAATCTAATGAAATAATGAAAAGCCAACAGGGCATTTGGTCACAGGCATTTTATTACCATGAAGTACCTAGGTAGATGATCTCACTCTTGAAGTCTAGTTGGGTCTTGACATATTGCCTATCAGTTTTTCATTCCCTTGGAGAGATGCTTGAGGTCTCTGGAAGGAAAGAGCAGGGGCTTGTAAGGCAGGTCAAAGCACATGAGGTAGGAAGCCATCAGTGTGTGGCCCAGTGGGCCCCATGTAGTCCAACCTCTCAAAGTGCCCCAAGTACCACAGAAACTAGAGAGCCTCGTTTTTGTAAACTCTGTTTTGGGTAAAAGACAGAAATCCATCAAACGGCACACAGATTAACTTATCACCCAGTTAAAGGGGCTGTCAGTGTGGGGCGGCTGAGCCTGGCCCACTGAATTCAAATGCATGTAAATTTCCCTGGTGGCAGGAGAGAGGATGGCAGAGCTGTCAGCCGGTGACATGTGGAAATACATTAACGGTGTTTAAAATATATTTGAAGGGGCTGGCTCATATTTTGATAACACACTCGCCGACAAATGATTTGTAGGAGATAGAAAGCCTGACCTCATCTCTATTCCAGAGGAGTCTTCGTAATGAGTCCCTCCCAGGATGTTGGGGGTTTCAGAGAAGTTGACAATTAACAATGCCTGTCTAAACCACGAAGGTCCCCTGTGTCGCTGATGTATGCAGTGGGGTTCTCTCAGCCCTACCTGTCAGTGGCACTCCAGCTTACAAAAAAGAAGCGATCACCAATTTCAAAAGAGCCAATTACAGTGGGACGCGCACCTGTGCTAGGCTCCGCAACTCCAGCAACAGCGGCAGATCCTCTCAGTTCTTGGTCCTTAGCCAGAAAGTGGGTGTCCTTGGCTAAGTGCAATTATCCTCAGGTTTAACTGAAGGCAGTTCTGAGTGTGGTCGTGTTGGAAATAAGCTAATAGCAAGCTGAAGAGACCAGGGAAGATGGAAGCAGTTGTTAGTATTCTATTCTGCAGAAGGTGTAGGAAAGGCAAAGATGGCTACCACGCTTCCTTGGTGGAAGACTGTAGTTTTTATAGACTTTGATCTCAACTCACCCTTGTCTCTTCTCTCACAGGCCAGGATCTTCTCTCTTTCCAGATTTTTCATCTTGTTTGTTTAGAACATAGAGCCGTGTCTAATGAACAAGCTGTGTGACTCTCCATCTCAGAGTTCTGAGACAAGCTAGCTTCAGCCGTCAGCCAAGAGAAAAAGGGACCTAGCTCTTCCTGTTTACCTGTAGCCCTGATGAAGTTTAAACTTTACCTTACACCGCAAATGAACTGCAAAGGTTGATTTCTCACAGTCCTATGTCTTACAGTCCTGTGTCTGACCAAGATGAGTCTGAATGGCAAATGTAACTCCAGCCTCCCCAGTATCAATAGACTTGAGTCCTAAAAAGACAAAGG